CCTTCTGTTTGATTTATTGACTTTTTATCTTAACAGCTTCTCTCCTACTCATACACGGGCGTACGTTATGTCATTCAACTTCAGCAAAATTAATCCCACTGATTTACAGCCGTAATAAATCAGATTAGATTCATTCGCCAGTTAAAAATGAGTTGTTTTTGTTTGCATAAATGCTTTAAAGTTTAATGTTTGACTCAACACGGGTATCGCTTTTGGTAAATAACAGCTTGAATACATTTTTCATGAGTTTGAGAGATGCAGTCATACAAGCAAAACTCATTACAGCTGTCACGGTGCGAGCTTTCGGTTAGTTTCTCTCCTGGTTTATTCGGAAATCCTCTGTTTTTGTGTCATGGTTTGTTTTAATTTGACTTTGCTGTTGTGTTCCCCTGAGTTTTTCCTCCGGTTCTGTTTCTGTGTTTAGCTTTGTGTCGAACTGCCTCTTTATCCCCATGTTCCTTGTTGTCTGGTTTGTGCATTTAGTTTTGTGAACCCTTTGGTTTTAATTTAGTTTGTCGCCTTTAGCTGCCTTGTTGTATTTTAGGTTTGCTATCTTCCTTTGTTTTTTGGCTTGTGTTTTAGACCTTAGTTACAGTCATGAGCAGACGTTTCCATGCACATGTAAGGACCATGTACGTGATGGCAGTCTTGAGCTCCCAGTGACTCCTATAACGCTGAAACACATGCGTCTTTGTCACATTTGAGAATTTTGATCCGTTCGTACATTAGATAGATCTTCTGGAAATATGACACAATCTGCTGGGTCAAAAATATACATACAGCAACTTCAGGTATCAGTTTTGATGATGTTGAAAGTTGTGTTAATCAAACGTTCTTGGTGGCATGACCTCTTGTGAGTGATTTTGATTGACTACAGCTGGTGACTCCTCTGAGGCTACTTAAATGAGACCCATTTGATACTCATTAGACTCTAGTCCTCTCCTGACACCACATACGAGGTGTGTCAGAAAAGTTTCAGGACTGGTGTCACAAAAGATATATTTCAAATCCAAACTACAAGTTTTCCCCTTCAAAGTAATCCCCCTGGAGTCTAACACACTTCCCCAGCCCTCTCTGCCTTCACGCTGCCATGCACTCCTGGAAGGATTCTTCCAGGATCCTCCGCATCTCCGTCGTTACAGCCATCTTGATGTCGTCCACGTCTTCTACACGGGTCCCCTTGATGACCCCCTTGAGCTTAGGGAAGAGCAAACAATCCCACAGAGCCAGGTGGGGTGAGTAGGGAGGTTGCTCCAGCACCAAGATGTTCTCCTCAGCCAGGAACTGTGGGATGCTCAGGGCATTGTGAAGCAGCCACGACTCGTCCTGCCACAACTCTGGCCTCTTTACCGAATGAAGCAAACGCTGCAGAATCTCTTTGTAGACGTGCTGGTTGATCGTCTGAAGGGGAAAACTGGTAGTTTGTAGTTTGGGTTTGAAATATATCCTTTGTGACACCAGTCCTGGAACTTTTCTGACACACCTTGTTGACCAACAGTCTTCGTTTTTTGTAATTTTTCAGGACAAACATCAATCTATATGTCTGCATCCAACAGAAAAATAGTTAGACTATATACTAATTGGGGCACCCAATACTCAAATATGATATTATATATAATTAAAAACTGTTATGTTGTAACAAGCAACCAAACACCATCATCTGAAATATCATTAGCAAATGTAATTATAATCACAGCTAAACTTTAAAATCATCGTTACTATTACCACCATCAAAACTAGAACAGAATATGAGAGTTACACGGACTATAGCACATAGTTTTCTGCAAAGTGTTATGAAAATATTCGTTTATTGATGGCTCAGAATATACTGTGAATCCAGACCCTGACCAGAGGTTCACCACTGGGGGGGTTGAATCTCTGGTTACAGCCTTGATGTACAGTGTGTTCTGTCCCCATAATGTATATATTTGTGGTACAACATTCAGACCAGTAAGGCTCTGTGCTTTCCTGTGGGTTGTTTCATTCAAAAATCAGGCAAAAACTGACCTTAATTTGTCTCAAAATAAACTCTGTAAGAGCCTCGGGCATTTTCAGATGTGAAATAGGAAAAGGGAAATAATTTAGAAATGGTGAATCGTAATGTGTTTAAAATGCATGTTCTCTCTTTGCATTTTCATGTCATGTCCATCACTGCTGTCTGCCCTCCGGATTGGCAACATACAGGAATCGTGCTTCCACTTATAGAGAAATGAAAAGATTTAGACATCAGGAGACCGTGATAGAGCAAACTGTTGACAGAGCAGTTTGCTGGCTGATTAAATAATTATTCATTGATCCCTCCCTCCTATTGGCCTCATAAATATCACCAGTTATCTGCTAATGTATTTTTATGTTGCATAAGGAAATGATCCTGAGGGCAGAAGTCAAACTTAAGCAAAGCTCATGCTGAAAACCTGTTTAAGTAAATGAAGGTTTTGTTTGAGAATCAAACTGACCTCCTGCTGGTTAAAGAACAAGCTGTGAAGAACCTGAGCAGTAAAGATGCACTGATAAAGAGTTTTATCAATAAACACATTCAGAGGTCTGAGAGGAGTTCATATCTTCTCCTTTCACTGAAAACCAACAACACTCATGTGGAAGAAAGCCTCTCCAGATGTGTGTCTCCTGTGGCTTTTGTGATATATGTATTGGATATGAATAAATAAATACACACATCTGGAAACACACAATGTAGATGATGTTTTCCACCACAGGAGTGAAGCAAGAAGAGAGCATCTAGTTTTTAACCCTATAACCCTTAAAAAGTGTAAATTAAGGCCTATAAGAGACGGAAAAATAGACTGATATCTAAAAAAGTATAATAATATAGGTGTGCTTTGCTTCTTTCCATGACAAGAGAAATCTGACCTGGTTAAATGCAAACCTTAAGAATACAATGAGAATATCAAAAGCAGTAAAAAGCATTGTTTTAAAGGTATTTATAGCTTTAAAACAATGTCGGATGTCTATTTTTTTTTTAGATAACAGTACACTGGATGAAAACGAAAGAGAATATTGTCGTAATTTCAGGTTTTACTTCATCAGCTGAGTGTTAAACGCTGCGAGAACCACGAGACTGTCAGAAACAACAAGACTTTAAGTCCTATTTAATAATAAATAAACATTCTTCGGGCATATTACACTGTTTAAATACACAGACTCCTCAGCTGTGGATTCTCCCTCAAGCAATGCAGCAATAAAATATGCAAAACATTCTTTTCAGTCCTTGATCAAGACTTTAAATTGACTAAAAGTTGCAACCGAATTGATTTTTGGGGCGCTGATCTTCCAAATTCAGGACAAACTTGAGGACCCTAAAGCCGTTCATGAGTTTAAGCAGTACTAAAGCATCTCTCAAGGACATAAATGTTTTTTCTACTAGTACATTCTAATAAAACTGAAGTATTTGGCCCGAAGCACCCCAGAAATACGTTATATAACCAAACAGTAACTCTGTGAGGGACCTTGGAGTTATTTTTATTTATTTTTTTAGCAGAATAGATCTTGTAATTCAATCCTAAAACAAATCTCTGGGTTGGTTTTGTTTCTTTCTTGTTGAGTTTCTCTGTATATTCTAATATTGTAAGATGTTCACCTGATGGTGTGGAGAGCCTTGAGATGACTTATGCTGTGAACTAGATGAAGGAAACTGAAGTGAAATGATGTGAGATGGCAGATTTCCTTCTCTCTTTAAGATAGATTAAACTTTTTCATGATGAGCACTTTACCTGTAATAAATCTACGAGCAGAATGATAACATCTAATCCTAGAGCTTAAGACTGGATGCAAATGTGTGACAAGGAAGGTGCAAACTTTCTCTAACTGTATCAGGATTTCTATGATTCTCAGAAGCAAAGAGAGGATCAAGATAAATCTATAAAACACTGCATCTTTAAGACGGCATGCTGTGCTCCTGCATGGTTAACCAACATCGGCTCCTCCTGTGATTATTCACTCTCCGGTGGTGTAATCAGGAAAAGAACAACCCAGACCGGACCGACACGTCCGGCTAATCTAATCACACACAGATATGATGAGACATAAAACTCACAGATAAGACACATCCAAGACGGGTGTTCGGTTTCCAGTGTTCCCGTGTTTTATATCAGGTCAGATCCACGTTTATAGCGGTTCACTGTGGTGCAAATCCGCTCTGAGACTAAATGGGTTGGACATGAAATTAATAAGCGGCAACCCTAACCAGACAATCAGTGAGCTATCTCAGTCTGTCAATAATAAAACAATCATCTCTAACTTCTGGCTGCTGTGTTTTTTTTTATACTTGTACCACACACACAGAGAGTTTGGAACTTTGCCCCCTTCTCCCTCCACAACAATGTCCAGGCTCATATCTAGATTTTCTCTTCAAGGTCTTGAGGCACAACACTGGAGCCACAACACAGACAGCAGGACGAGACGAGCCAGAGGAGGAGAATCAATGAGCAGGATTATTTTTTTTCTCCTTGTTTCTTGGTTGGAGAATCCTCTCAGTTGTCTGAAAACTTTATCTTTTGTCCTGCGACATAAATCAATCAGGACCCGTCGCTTGGTGTCACTTGGATCTGATGGAAAACTTTCTGGAGGATTTTCTCAGCAGCACCTCACACGGGCAGGATTTATTTATGGTGAAGAGAGAAACTTCTTTTTAAAGATTTAGGTGAAAGATTTGGATTACGAGCCTGGACAGAAGACATCAGGACGGAAGACAGTGCAACCTTGCATGGTTCTTCTCGGGGCTTTGGTTGGATTTGGGCTTTTGGTCAAAGCTTGGAAGCTGGAGTTTGGAATCTAAGACACAGTAGGAAACACACCAAGGTAACAACTGGTGCAGCAACTGCAGTAACTGCTTTAAAAATATTTTAACACCCCTGAGAACTTATTGGTGCCATTTTTTGCAATAATGCCTGAAAAGTGTAAAGTAAAAAATCTTCTGCAAGAACAAATCAGCATTTAGAAAGATAAGAAGCTGTCTGTGTTTGATGTTCCAGCTTGTCTGAGCCATGGCGGAGAGGAGACGGACGAGCTACAGCGTCCACAGGGAGGTCCTGGATGAAGGAGCCGTGGACGTGATGGCAGTGAAGTCGGAGCCAAAAACATCTCTGAAGGACAAAGTCAAAGGAGCAATGAGGTAAAAGTCCCCACGGTGCATCTCAGCTTATCGGTCCTATTCAGCTGTTTCCTGGGTTGCAGATTTTCATATTAAAGCACTTAGTGATGTAACCTGTGCATGCACATTCATAGAGTCACAGAATACATTAGTCTAACATTCACCAGATTTCATATTTGCTCCCCAAAAAATTTAAATACTAAAGATAATGTGTTCTTCACATTTTACATCAAAATGGCTCAGAGTAAGAAAAGAAAAAGATGTGCTCAGTCCATGTGTTACATTTCCTGTGAGGTTAGGAAGTGAGCGAAGTAAAAAATTAGGCCGAGAGGCTTTAAAAGGACTTAAAGAAACAAATAAATTAACTTTTAGGGTTTCGCAATCTTGTGACTGTGGAGAAAACTTTCAAATTTAAAATGGTGACTCTAGGTGCTGCTCAGAAACGTTCTTGTGGGGTTTTGGGTTCCATTTTTACTTTTTGTTACTGTTGTTGGTGGGTCGGTGGTTAGCATCGTCGCCTCACAGCTACAAGGTCGCTGGTTTGTGTCCCGGTGAGGACACCCGGGATCTTTCTGTGTGGAGTCTCCATGTTCTCCCCGTGCAGTGTGGGTTCTCTCTGGGTTCTCCAGCTTCCTCCCACAAGGTCCAAAAACACATTGAGGTTAATTGGTGATTCTAAATTGTCTGTAGGTGTGAATGTGAGTGTGCTTGGTTGTCTGTCTCTAAGTGTAGCCCTGTGATACACTGGTGACCTGTCCAGGTGAACCTGCCTTCACCCTGAGTCAGCTGGGATAGACTCCAGCCCCCCATGACCCTAGTGAGGATTAAACGGTGTATAGATGATGGATGAATGGACAGTTGATGTGGTTTTATTGTAGAGGTTCCTACATCGACTGAAGTGTCTTTTTCCCCTTTGGGAAAATACGGACTTTGGCATCAGATTTCATTTGCATACAAGTCAATTGGCAGAAAGTCAGACAAGATGCCAGTTTGCTCAAACACACAAAACCAGCTGCTAAAATTGCATTTACATCTCCAGGATTATGTAAAAGGGTTCCATAATTTAATCCCATAAATTTGAGTTTCCCACAGTAGCTGACTGAAATACTTTTTAAAAAAATCCTTAGTCAAACCTTTACCAGTAACTGTGACTAATATTAGAACAAATAATGACACCTCACAATCATAAACCTTTGTGAAGTTTATCTCCTGCCAAAGACACACAATACAAATACGAAGGCTTCACTTGTTATGTGTAATTTTTCCCTGAATAAAATCTAAACAAAAGTCTCCACATAGAAATCTCCATTTCTAGACCGTGCTAAGGTTAATTTACTACTTCTGCATCGACACAGAAAGTCTGAAAAAATGCTCTGATGGAGTCGAATCCCACATCTGGTTCTTGTTGTTTTACAAATCCTATGTGATGAACTGAACCTCCTGTTTCTTGTTGGGAGCCAGCGGGAGCTAACAGATGATTTTAGCGCTCTGTGCAGTCATTCTGCCACTACAGCAACCAGAGAAGACTAGTGGGCTTTTCTTGCCCCGTGTTTTGTTTTCTTTAATGATCAATGGCATTATAACTATATTACATTGCATTTCTGAGGTCTTTCTCCTTCTAGTCATAGTTGTGCTACTTCCATAGATGTGCAACACTTTATATCACAGTGAAAAAATGAGTCCACAGTGAGTTAAAATGTGACAAACGCCCAGAAACAGCTTGGAGTTCAGAGGGTTAACACATGTGTACGTTTAGAGATAAAGAAGAGCCACACAAACAGTAATGTGTTTGTATCCACCATAAATGAACACTGATGGACAGATAACGCTTGTAAGGGTAAAAGATGTAAGTTGTTGTCATTTTCTTATCGAGCACATTTGAATGTCTGCTCCTGCCAGTGGGCCATCACAACAGGGATAGGAATAGTTTAAATATGGTAATTCCTGTAAAGGAGAGACCTACAAATATGGGGATATATTGGTATCAGTCATCCAGAATACACTGGATAATATCTGCATGTCAGATATTGGCAAAAATATGATATAGTGTTTGTCTTCTGGGTGAGTTTTTTAATGATTACAAGAGGGTTTGGGCTTCAAACTTTGTTCAAATGTGGGATTCACTCATACGGATACAACATAAGTGCTGTACAGAATCAAAGAGAAGTGTAAGAACAACATTAAAAGAAGTAAAAGGCAAAAAATGCATAAATAAATAAATAAAGAATGGTGAAGGTGAAACACATAAAGCATGAAAGACAATAAAACAATCTAAAAATATAAAGAAAAATAAAACCCAGTAAAAGAAGACAATTAAAAGACAATAAAGGAAGGAATAAAACAGCTAGAGACAGTTAGATACAGGAGACTGATAGAGGAGACTGAACAACACAACAGCATCGACTGAGTGACCCAGAGATCTGACATCAAGCAAAGAATCGACACGTGCAGCAATTTTTTAAAAACTATTGCCCCCATTGTCTCTATTTTTCTCTGTCTGTCAAACCAACTCAGGTGTTCTGGTCCCCGGATGAAGAGCTGCCTGCTGGGAAGTGTTCCCGTCGTATCGTGGCTTCCTCGTTACTCCATCAAAGAGAACGCTCTGGGCGACCTGGTGTCTGGGATCAGCGTCGGGATCATGCAGCTGCCGCAGGGTGAGCTGGAGGTTTAGGAAGTAGAAACGCTAAGGGAGGAGGATTGGTAGGGGAGCTGAAGGTAGAGATGTTCTATTAATTGTTAATGGTACACTGAAGGTTATAACGTTTTTTTTTTTTTTAATTCCGTTACTACTGATGAACATCCTTGCAAATCCTGTTCATCCTCTTTCATCTCTGCAGGAATGGCCTACGCCTTGCTGGCAGCTGTTCCTCCAGTCTTTGGCCTTTACTCCTCCTTCTACCCGGTGCTCATCTACTTCATCTTCGGCACATCCAAGCACATCTCAGTCGGTATGCACTTTATTATTCGCTGTATCTGATTAGCGGGTCACTTCAAAAGGTGGGAATAAATCTACTGTGAGACGTGTGAAGATGTTACAAATGTTAGAAGACGCAATGGGAGAAGATGAACTTTATTGATGTCCC